ACAAATATGAACATTATGATATCAGTTTAAGATCTTCTTTCGCTTATAGTTTTCAATATTATTTGTTCCTTGTCATTAATAGTATTTATATTCAGGTGAGCGATTTTAGGGCCATTATGGCTCTCTTGTTTTATTTTAATAAGTTTTAAACATGTGCGTTTGGTCACGGGTGTTGTTTTGTCCGCGTATGAATCAAATCCGTATATAAATAACAAAATTATGACAATTAAACCAAAATTCAATAAATTGACATAGACGGTGAAGGTCTTTTAAAGGTCAGTTCTACCTGTTTGACGGTTTTATCCAAAAGGATGGTTTGTCTAAGTTTGAAGATAAATCCTTTGATTAACTACCAAGTTACAGCCAATCAAAACAATAATCAGTGAAAATTCAATGAATTGACCATCACGGTCGAGGTCATACATGAGCCAATGTCAGTTTAAGATCGATATACATGAATGTCCTGTCCTAAAAATGTTGAATCTAAATATGAACAAAGTTATAGCCAGTCACAGGAAAAATCAAGGGCATTTTATTAGTTTGACCTTGACTGTCAAAGTCAATTAAATGGTCAAAATGTCTTAATTATTCAAAATATTTGTTTGGTAGCAAGTCTTGTTTTGTCAAAGTATAACTCAAATCTGTACATAAATAACAAAATTATGTCAATTTAACTTAAATTCAATAATTTGACCTTGACGGTCAATGTCATGTATTTACAATTCATTGTCAGTTAAACCTTTTAGTAGGTCTTGTCCAAAAGGTTGTTTTGTCTATAAAGATAATCCGTTTATTAAAATTTCAGTTGCCGTCAATTATAGCAGAACTCATTAAACAATCAATAATTTAACCCTCAATGCCGAGGTCATAAATGAGCCAAGGTGATTTGAGTTTGATATACATAAAGGTCTTGTCCTAAAGAATGTTGTGTCAACAATCCATTCGTTAATAACAAAGTTATAGGCATTTACAAATTACAGCAACAACAAAAATTTCAATAATTAGACCTTCAAGGTCAAGGTTTTTATGAGCGAAGGTCAAAATCTGTGTTCTATCCTAAAAGATTATTGTGCTCAAGTTTGAAGGCAATCCATTCAAAAGTAACACAAGTTATAGCCACTAACAGCAAAGATCAAACAAAATTTAGACATTTGACCCTGAAGTTGAATGTCAATTATGAATTGAGGTCAATTTTTGCCTGGTGTACTTGAAGGTCTTGTCCCATAGGTTGTTGTGGCCAAGTATGAATACAATACAGCATCAACTTAAAAGTTATGATCAACGTTCAAGTTTGCGTACAAGAGCGGATGTAACAATGCCTTTTTTCTTCAAAAAAGTCGAGCTAAAATAATAGACCGCAAAGAACGCCCCTAACGACAAAATTAAATAATTTGAAGGCTCGGTTTGATTGAGCCTGTTCATTGACGGTGCTATCAAATATCATCGACAAGTAGTATTGATCACTTCTATAATACATTTGATATTTAATTTTTTATGAATTATTCTGTAATATAAACTTATTTACGAAAAATACTTGAAATAAAGCATTAACCTTTGGGTCGTGATGATTTTATACTTATTTAATACGTTTGAGTGGTCTTAATTTTGTTTTGACGCTGGTGTCAGTCGAAAAGGAAGTTGCAGTCCGTGATATAACGCTTAAACTATTGAAACTTGACGCAATTATTTATCACATCGGGACATATATATAAGCCCATAATATTTTTATGCTTTCTTGCATAAGTAATTTAGGAGTTGTTGCCTCTTTATGTACGGCTTATGGTGACTTTTAGAAAAAAGCACAAAACGTATTTCATCGACAAAAATTTTGCGAATTTTCATCGCACACCAATATCATTAGAGCTTACTTCAAGGCCATATTCGCAGTTGTAGGTCAAAGAGGACTTGCTAAAAATATGTCTGTCCTGTAGCTTCAGACTGCCAAACTGTTGCAAAATATTCCTTTTCTGTATATGTTTTTACCCTTTTACAACTCGTAAATCTTTATAACTTTAAAGACAGAAAGAACATTTACTACACTTACATCACCTTAATACATGTATAAACTCCTTTCAAATAGCGTTATAATGTTTATTTACAAGTTCTGCACACGTAGCTCAATTCGTAAAAATGTCCCTTTGTATCCAAATAAATTTTCTTCTTCTTTGCTCACATATCTCACGAACACTGAAAAGATTAAACAGAACGCAGCAAAGCAAGAACACACATGTACACACAATCATTTAAATAAGGTAAAAAAATATGTGAACGCTTCTTCATAACGTCGGGAATTTTTAACTGCTTACCAGCTGTCAGGCGAAAAGAGAAGATGCTTTTTTTAATGCGCCGCCGGAAAGCCATATGGGCGACCGTACACTCAAGTCGGGCCATCCTAGAGATTTTTTCGTCGATTTTATTCCAGCTTTTATTGGTGGAGGAAGACCCCAGGTGCCCCTCCGGGCATTATTTCAGGCACGAGCGGGCACCTGGGTAGAACCACCGACCTTCCGTAAGCCAGCTGGATAGTTTCCTCACATGAAAGAGATAGATGCATGAATTTCACGCGGTTTTATATGATTAAGTTTGTCTTAATAATACCTGGCTTACTCTCGTTTACCAATCTTAATTTAACAAGCGCTGGAAACCAGACAATACTTAATCCACAATGCCGAATAAATCCAAATACATGTAAATGACAACCATATAAGATTATTCCGAATGCTACAAAAATAAAAAATAAAATATTTATAGCTTTGCCGACACAGTCATAATTAAAGCTGTCAGCGCCACTTAAAGGTAAAATTTAATTACTGTAATACATGTGTAAGTAATAAGTATTCTAGACTTTAAATCAAATCAAACATATTTCGATATTAAAAGAAAGTGGTCCGCCCTTCTTTGAAGCTATAGTTAATCTGAATTACGCGGTAAACTCAAGGTTTATATAAGAAAAATAATTAAAAATAAATAAAAAATAATTCAAATTACTTTTTCAACAAATTCTCAATTTTGACTTTATGGATTCTTTTTTTTTTTCTCTATTTTACATCTATTAGAAATATACTGTTTGAAAATTTAACTTAGCCACTTTAGTCTTTTTCGTAATTTTGATTTCTTTATTCTCTCACATGGCAACATGAGGTAGAACTAATAATAATAATATAATTTATAATATGGAAACATACAATGCATACAATATGGTGTATACAGATTTAAAATACAATAATAATCATTATTATTCCGCTGACTGTTTTACTTGGTACAGATATGAACAACTTTACATTCTTATTTTAGTAATAAGGTAACACAATATATCATTTATACTGTAAATAAAGAATATTGAATGAGTATAAGTTTAATACTAAATTTATTGAAAGAGTTAAATAACATTTTATTACGCGAGCATATTATTATTTTATTCAACGAGGTCAATAAATTCAGTGTTGAATAAAATTATATTATGCGAGCATTATTTTTATGTTATTAAATATACAGTCAGTTAGGAATTTAGACGAATTAAATATTCTATTTATCACATACAAAAGATAAAGACCGTTTGAAATAAAAAAAAACAAGAGCTATTTCAACATGGCCATCCCCCGCCGAATGTGTTTGCTCATTGAAAGAATGTATATGTAGTAGAGCAGAATAATTCCATTTTAAGAGGTCATTTGGTAATAAAAACTGATGGCTGAAGTGAGTACAGATTTGAAACCTATGTGAATACTGATGGCTGAAAATAACAAAGGGCAATAACTGAAAAATAATGCAATGTAGATTATCATTCTTGTGTGCTGCACCCATCCTAAGTAAACTCTATCCACCTATGAAGTTTCAAGTTGATACCTCAAATACTTTTTGAGATAAGCTCCGGAAAAGGAACAAAGGGAAGAGTTACCATTCTTGTGCACAGCATTCATCCTCGATAAGATCTATCCACCTATGACATTTCATGTCGACATCTCAAACACTTTTGAGTTATGCTCCATTTAGGTGAAAAATTAAGTATGCAAAATAACAAAGGGCAATAACTCAAAAATTATAAAAGGTAGAGTTATCATTCTTGTGCACTACACACCTCCTGAGTTAGATCTTTGCACCTATGAAGTTTCATGTTGATATCTCAAAGGCCATTTGACTTATGCTCTGGACAAAAATTAATTTTGAAAAATAACAAAGGGCAATAACTAAAAAAAACGCAGGGTAGAGTTGTCATTCTTGTGCACTGCACTCCTCTTCAATGAGATCCATCCAGCTATGAAGTTTCAAGTTGATACCTCAAATACTTTTTGAGATAAGCTCCGGACAAAATAGTACGAAAAAGAACAAAGGGCAATAACTCAAAAATTGTAAAGGGAAGAGTTATCATTCTTGTGCACAGCATTCCTCCTCAATAAGATCTATCCACCTATGACATTTCATGTTGACATCTCAAACACTTTTGAGTTATGCTCCACTCGGGTAAAAAATTAGGTTTGAAAAATAACAAAGGGCAATAACTCAAAAATTATAAAAGGTAGAGTGCACTGCACACCTCCTGAGTTAGATCTATGCACCTATGAAGTTTCATGTTGATATCTCAAACGCTTTTTGAGTTATGCTCTGGACAAAAATTAATTTTGAAAAATAACAAAGGGCAATAACTCAAAAATTATGCAGGGTAGAGTTATCATTATTGTGCACTGCACCCCTCCTCATTTAAATTGTATATCGAGTAAATATTTTTCATATTTCTTTTAAAGGCATATAGAGACGAAGACTCTTAATATATAAATATAAATTATTCCATACTTGCATAGCATTATTTCTAAATTATCTTTCAATATATTTTGTATTAGATCTTACATGTATTATGTTTCTATTTGTAGTTGATGTAAGTGTTTATGTTTCATTTTTCGAGAACACTAGGATATCTGAAATGTAGGAAAGAGTCCGTCCTTGTATAGATTTATATATTAATAATACTGTATGATACATGCATCTGTTTTCAAAAGCTAACCAGTTTATTTTAAGGAGCTGTAAAGATGGCGTTTTAACTGGTTTACAGCTGCGCGTTTCTGCAGTTTATTCACTTTTTCAAATTCAGTTTTATTACAAGTCCTCCATATAATACAACAATAATCGAAACAAAGTTAAATATAGGCATTATAAAACATTTCTTTCATTTAAGCGGATAAAAAGTACGATGAGCAATTTGTTTTTGTAATTTATTACAAAAACAAATTGCTCTCTTAAAGCGTATATCGATAAAAGATGTTTAATTTTTAATACTGAATCAATTCGTAGGATTCATTAATGTATTAGATCGCAAGGATAAATTAACGGATAAATCAACCATATGATACGTCACAAATAAACCAATATAAATAATATCCAATCAAATTGTCGTTTACAAAACGAAAATCGTAAGAATGACGTCGTTACGACGCATATTCACCGTATCTAACGTCGTTGTCAGATAGATACGAACTACAGAACGGTTAAAGATGGCAAGTCTTTCTGAGCAGACAAACACCTTCACATTTTTAAATTATGCACCCGGAAATGGATATTTTTGGACGAAACAATCATTTTATAGTGTAAGTAGCTCTAGATTGTGTTCAATGTTTATTACTTAAAATAAATACAACTTTTGATACAATTATTATGTTATTTATGTGTCATCACGTGTATTGATTGCATTATTTATATCAATTCTTCTTTGAAGGTTTTAAAACCTTTTTAAAATAATTTCTGTTTGCGTGTCTGTCTGTCGGTCTTTACGCCACTTTCAACAATACAATGTATTTAGTCAAATCTCAGTCCGCCGAACCGGTTTTTTCTTGATTACAGCAACCCCTGTTGGAACGCATTTTATGTACTTACAATAAGAAGTATCATATTATAATCTTGCAGGCAGAAGCTACATACGGAAGACAGAAATTTAATATAAACAAAGCTTCCCCTGTCTACATATCACCATTTTTCTATCCGAATTCTACATTCACACATCCAAATTCTACTTATTATCATCCCAATTCAACATATTACAATACAAATTCTGCATACAACAATACAAATTCTGAATATAACAATACAAATTCTGCATACACACATCCGACAAATGAAAACACAACAAGTGCAAAAGAAAGATCACCAACACCAATAATTCAAGAAGAAACACCAGAAGAAAAAGAAAACAGGGAATACATAGAATATATGAAGAAGAACCCATATGTGGAGGTAAGTTATCTACTCTCTAACTTAATTTGTTATTGTTATTTTGTTATATATTCGGCAAGCCTCGTTACCGTCCAATGGGCGTCTCCCCTCGCAACGGATATTCCATTCCGAGCCGCAAACATATGACATATATTATTATTCTACATAAATATGATACAAATAAAGAGTCTTAATGATCAAATTGCTAGGTCGCAGATGATTTTAAAAGTTCCAAATTAACATAATTTCTCCGGCTTGTCATAAGTGATTGCCCGCATTTTAATTGTCCATTTATATTATTGGTTATAACCTTTGATAATGTAGCACAAATATGGTATCTGTAAATTTCTATTTAATAAACATTAAAATGGGACTGGGCTTAAATTAATAGAAGCCGCAGTCACTCGTCTTCGTTTGATTTCAAAGTAGATTTATTATAGAAGTATCTAGATAGTTTGTATTTTAAACAACCGCGGTGTATTAACGATAATTAAATGTGTGAAAAGATTACTTTGATTAAAAGGTTAATTATGATAATTAATTAAATGCGTGTAAAAGATTACCTGGATTAAAATGTTAATGTACGTGTATATATTTATTTTCAGGAGGAATATGTACCAGATCGTTTAGCTTTTTTATGCGCTTGAGAGATGAAATTGGAGACGATATAATTGACCCTGATCAATCATTTGTTATTTCTGCTTTTGATTATCACTGATTCATATTTTGTTTGTTTCTTTTTCTAATCATTTCAAATTATTGCTTTGTTTTCTAAATAAATTTCTTGATTTCTTAATTTTGTTGTGTTTTTAATGGCAGATATTATTTCAACGATTTATAATATTGCCTTGCATTGTTTGGGTAATAAGGATGTGTGATATTAACGCGGGTTTCCGTGTTTATAAATGACGAATTAGGCCGCTATTCCATTTATACGTGATCAGTGGTCCGCGTCAGTGATACGTGTCCGGGCATGTCCGTGGGTATTATTCCATAGGTACGTTATTTTCTATATACTTTTAATTGAAGTATAGCGAACAGAGGATAATTATTTGTAGAATATGATATAATTTCATTCTAATACCAAAAACAGTTGTAACATCAAAAAATTAGGTAACAAACATTGAATATCAGTTAGGTTTTCAAATAACATCTCTTTAGCAACCGATGACCAGATGTTGTTTTTTTTAATCTGTCATTGCTGCATCATAAACTTATATGTTCTCCTACACTATTTTGGTGACTTCTTTAGTATTTTCTTTCGAAATCGATAAAGTATTTAATTTCGTTCGAGGCATTTTGTAGGGATGAGACATGTCAGTGACTGTCCGCGTCCGTAAAAAATCGCTCATCCTGCGAAACGTCGCGGATGCCGTCGAGGAAGCGGATGGTAAACGGACAAAAGGAATAGATTCAACGTATTCTTTGATTAGCGAATCGGTAACGGATGCGGATGACGGACGCGGACCACTGATCACGTATAAATGGAATAGCGGCCTTAAAACTAGATCATTATCAGGATTGAAATAACTGTTTATGGTCTGGTTTTAATTTCTACTCCTACATATTTCCTCCCCTGAAATAAATTGAACAAGCAATTATCATAGTATTGCAAGCAATCCATAAGTCCCCTACCGGATGGAACCCCATCAACATTCTGAAGGGCCATTGGCCATTCTCTAATGTTTTTATAGTAAATTTGTTGGAAAAGTTCTTTAAAAGTGATCACAGGAAACAGTTTTGTTGAAAAGACAGACGGACTGAAGGACACTCTAAATTTAATATTTGAAACATCCGTTACCAAAATAATTTTATTATAACAATTTAAAAAGCAAAATTCTTAAAGAGGAGATAACTCTGGAATTAAAAAATTTTCAGCTCTTTTTGGCTAATCACAAATATTGTTATATTTGCCATGTTTTAAGCCTATTTGTTGCCAAGGCAACCAATATTTTTTCAAAATAAGAGGAACAGATAAGACATGCATAATCTCAAGACTGCCATCTACCCATATGTCAAGTTTCATAGAAATATTTCCAGTACTTTTTAAGTTATCACTGGATTCAGTTTATGTGTAAAATTTGCCATATTTTCAGTCTATGTGTTGCCATAGCAACCAGAATTGTCAAAGAAAAAGATGTGCATAATCTCCAGACTGCCATCTACACATATTATAAGTTTCATAAAGATACTTTTATTACTTTTTGCGTTAACACTGGATCCAGTTTATGTGTAGAAATTGCCATATTTTCAGTCTATTTGTTGCCATAGCAACCAGAATTTACAACATAGGAAGAAAAGAAAAAGACGTGCATAATCTCCAGACTACCATCTACCCATATTTTAAGTTTCATAAAAATATTTCCAGTACTTTTTGCGTTATCACTGGATCCAGTTTATGTGTAAAATTTGCCATATTTTCAGCCTATTTGTTGCCATAGCAACCAGAATTTTCAACATAGGAAGAAAAGAAAAAGACGTGCATAATCTCCATATTGCCATCTATCCATATATCAAGTTTCATAAAAATATTTTCAGTACTTTTCAAGTTATCGCGGGATCCAGTTTTGTGGACGGACGGACTGACAGACAGACGGACAGACAGACAGACGGACGGACGGAGGGTAAACCTAAAGTCCCCTCCGGTAAACCGGTAGGGGACTAATAAATGTTATGTAGGCTTCATAACCTCTGATCCCCTTTCAAAATTTCATTTTATTTAGTTCTGCCCATCGTTTCTCGTTTAGGGCACACGCATTCATTATGATAATTAATTAAATGCGTGTGAAAGATTACCTGGATTAAAATGTTAATGTACGTGTATATATTTATTTTCAGGAGGAATATGTGCCAGATCGTTTAGCTTTTTTTATGCGCTTGAGAGATGAAATTGGAGACGATATAATTGACCCTGATCAATCATTTGTTATTTCTGCTTTTGATTATCATTGATTCATATTTTAATTGTTTGTTTCTTTTTCTAATCATTTCAAATTATTGCTTTGTTTTCTAAATAAATTTCTTGATTTCTTAATTTTGTTGTGTTTTTAATGGCAGATATTATTTCAACGATTTATAATATTGCCTTGCATTGTTTGGGTAATAAGGATGTGTGATATTAACGCGGGTTTCCGTGAAAAAAGGAAATAATCATAATTATTATTATTGAGTCCAGCACTTTTAAGTGAGAGCATTGAGTACCGCTCAAGCCGGTGCTAGAGGGCGTGAGGGATGTTGCACTTTTTTATTATCCCTTATGTACATACTCAATCAAGTATGATTAACAAAATCAACAAGGAAAGGCGGCGTTCAATGAACGCAACCGAATCTGCAATTTTTCTGTAAATTTGCTGTTTTTTATGCTCCCGAGGGATCACTTTTCATCCATATATTTATACATCACAACAGCAGGTGTCAAGTGCTGTGGCAGCCGTAAAATGTTGCCCCGTACTTCACTTCAGTGTTGTATATTTTTCTGGTCCTTCGAGATCATTGAGTCCAGCGCTTTTAAGTGTTTAGAATTGAGTACCGCTCAAGCCGGTGCCAGGGGGTGTGAGGGATGTTGCACTTTTTCATTATCCCTCATGTACAGACTCAAACAAGTAGAGAAAAGCAAAATCCTTAAAGAAAGCCCAACATGGCAGAATTGTAAAATGTTGCAGGCTCGGTTTGATTGAGCCTGTTCATGGACGGTACTTGAAAGTGCAAGTTACCGTCCACGCCCCATAGCACCGGCCTAAGCAGAATTCAACATTTGCCCCGTCCTGTTTTTGTTTGGGGTCCGCCTGGGCTCCTTGCCATTGGTTCTTGTTGCTGGGTCATATGGGGGTTCATTGAACGTCGTCTTTCCTTGTTGATCTTGTTTGTCATATTTTAATAATGTTAATGGTGAAATTTTGAATTTATGCCCTTGTAGGTGATTTTCTTGTTGCTCTGTCTTCCTTTAAGACATCGAGTACTTTTGTTATGGTCATTGGGTTTATTTTTATATGTTTTTATATGATCATTTTGGTGTTTTACTTATTTAACCTTTTGTAACCATAACAACTGTTAGAATTTCACTTGGCGGGGATTCATTTTATTTACACTGTCTTGTTTATAGGAACATGGTGGGGCTAAGAGCGAGGTTTGGTGCACCATTAACCGGTTTAAACTCCCCTGCTGACCGTTCCAAGGGGGCGCCCCTCTATGTTCCTCAGATGTATGTCTATGTTGTTTTATACTGTTATGGTGACACTTTTGTGTCTCTTGTTGTTTCTCGTCTACGGTAAGTATCTTCCCCTTTGCCCCTAGTTTTTATTTATTTTATTTATCCCCACCCCTTCCTCGAGTCTCATGTCCCCTTCCCCGGTGCCTTTTGACTTTATGGGCCTAATATTCAACCATTTATTTGTTTTCTTTTAGTTCCTTATCAGTTACTAATTATTTATTCTTATGTAGTGGTTTTACCGTCTTATCTGTGATACGCAGGCTTCATAACCTCTGATCCCCTTTCAAAATTCCATTTTATTAAGTTCCGCCCATTGTTTTCTCGTTTAGGGCACACGCTTTTTATTACTTGGTGACCATACGCCGCTTTTCATGGAATGGCACTGAAGTGTCACATTGAAGGTTCCATGATAACCGCCGTATGAACACATCTGCGGAACTAAATAAAATGGAATTTTGAAAGGGTTCTGAGGTTATGAAATAGAGAAAACAAGAATCCCCTTAGAAAGCCAAATACGGCAAAATTAAAAATGTTGCAGGCTCGGTTTGATTGAGCCTGTTCATGGACGGTACTGTCAAGTGCAAACTACCGTCCATGCCCCTAGCACCGGCTTAAGCAGAACTAAACATTTAACATGAACTGGTGCAATTTTGAAACATCCGCAGATGTGCTCATATAATATGGCGGTTATCATGAAATATGATAAACAAGATCAACAAGGAAAGGCGGCGTTCAAGGAACGCAACCCCGAGACGATCTAGCAACAATAACCAGTGGCATGGAGCCCAGGCGGACCCCAAACAAAAACAGGACAGGGCACAAGACAGAGCAACCTTCAATGTTACACGAAAGTGCCATTCCATGAAAAAGGGCATATGGTCCCTGAGTAAAACAAGAGCTGTCACCCAAGTGACGAATGCCCCCGAAAAGCCGGTGCAAGGGGGCGTGGACGGTAGTTTGCACTTGACAGTACCGTCCATGAACAAGCTCAATCAAACCGAGCCTGCAACATTTTAAAATTTTGCCGTGTTGGGCTTTCTTTAGGAATTGTTTTTCATTATTTTTAATTGTCAGCTGTAAAAAGTTGCCCCGTACTTTACTTCAGTGTTGTTATATTTTTCTGGTCCTTTGGGATCATTGATGCCAGCACTATTGAGTGTTGAGAATTTAGTACCACTCAAGCCGGTGTGAAATGAATGCATATATTTTAATGATTACATAATTATAATGTGCACAAATATTTCCAGTACATATTTTACATATTCTTCAATTTGTTTATTAGCATAGTTATATAGAAATATAGTACTACTTAAGTGCAGTAACAACCCCAATTACAACATACAGGATCTTCAATGAAGTACAAGATGATATCCATCATCACTTTATCCTTTTAGTCTATCCCATTTGTATATTTGTTACTCAAAATGTCAACAAGATAAAATGACTAGCAAAAATGCATTGACTGTGAAAACTATGACGAACAAGATCAACAAGGAAAGGCGACGCTCAATGAACGCAACCCCCATACGATCCAGCAACAAGAACCAGTGGCAAGGAGCCCAGGCGGACCCTGAAGCTGTGAAGCTTCATTTCTTGTTCTAGCAATTGATATATTTTCATAATAGATTTTCAATTTAGATCAGATAATTGTCTTACCACATGGATGATTTTATAGCGGCCATTTCCCCATATTCATTTTCTTGAATTGGATTATAAAAATAAATCACCCCCTTTTCTAAATCCAAAACCTATATACAAATATATAAAAATTTCATAAATACATTTCATAATACTCGTAACAAAATATAGTCATAACTGTTAGAGTTACATATCTCTTTGGCTTCTTTCGATACCAAGTCAAATCCAAGTTTAAAGGGGATACCTTTCATGATACCTACTAATGAATAAGAAAATAAACACAGATTAGCAAGGTACAACATTAGCTAGACTTTAAAAAGTCTATTTTAAAAAGGCTGTAAAAAGTCGCCCCGTACATTTAATCAATGAGGTTATATTTTCGATCCTTGAAGATCGTTCAGCACGACATTATTGTTGTACTTGTGGTATTTTTAGTTTCAACTTTTCGGCATTTTCTAGTTGGGTGGTTCCAATATTCCTACTTGAATAATGTTGAATCACCCTTAGGATATGTTGCCTGCTTTTTAAATTTGTCTTTTGACGTCTTATCTGTGATACGCAGGCTTCATAACCTCTGATCCCCTTTCAAAATTCTATTTTATTTAGTTCCGCCCATTGTTTTCTCGTTTAGGGCACACGCTTTTTATTACTTGGGGACCATACGCCGCTTTTCATGGAATGACACGGAAGTGTCACATTGAAGGTTCCACGATAACCGCCGTATGAACACTCTGCGGATGTTTCTAAATTCAAAATTCTACCATTTCATGTTTAAATGTTGAATTCTGCTTAAGCCGGTGCTAGGGGGGGGGCGTGGACGGTAACTTGCACTTTCCAGTACCGTCCATGAACAGGCTCAATTAAACCGAGCCTGCAACATTTTCAATTTTGCCTTGTTGGGCTTTCTTTAGGGATTCTTTATTTATCAATTTTACTTCACTTCAGTGTTGTTATTTTGTTATTTTTTCTGGTCCTTCGGGATCATTGATGCCAGCACTATTAAGTGTTGAGAATGGAGTACCGCTCAAGCCGGTGCTAGGGGGCGTGAGGGATATTGCACTTATTCATTATCCCTCATGTACAGACTCGATCAAATATGATAAACAAAATAGATAAATACAGAATCCGTAAAGAAAGCCCAACACGACAAAATTGAAAATGTTGCAGGCTCGGTTTGATTGAGCCTGTTCATGGACGGTACTGGAAAGTGCAAGTTACCGTCCACGCCCCCTAGCACCGGCTTAAGCAGAATTCAACATTTAAACATGAAATAGTAAAATTTTGAATTTAGAAACATCCGCAGATGTGTTCATACGGCGGTTATCATGGAACCTTCAATGTGACACAGTAGTGCCATTCCATGAAAAGCGGCGTATGGTCCCCAATTAAAAAAAATACGTGTGCCCTAAACTAGAAAACAATGGGCGGAACTAAATAAAATGGAATTTTGAAAGGGGATCAGAGGTTATGAAGCCTGCAAGGATCAACAAGGAAAGGCGGCGTTCAATGAACGCAACCCCCATATATGACCCAGCAACAAGAACCTATGGCATGGAGCCCAGGCGGACCCCAAACAAAAACAGGACAGGGCAAAGACAGAGCACGGATAGGTTAATCATTAAATGATAAATAATTTGTAACTGATTAGGAATTCAAAGAAAAGAATAATAGAATAACCGAGTCTGCAATTCTTATGTTATTTTGTTGTTATTAAAATAGAGAGAAATAAGAATCCCTAAAGAAAGCCCAACACGGCAAAATTGAAAATGTTGCAGGCTCGGTTTGATTGAGCCTGTTCATGGACGGTACTGTCAAGAGCATACTACCGTCCACCCCCCTAGTACCGGCTAAAGCAGAATTCAACATTTAACATGAACTGGTAAAATTAAGAATTTTGAAACATCCGCAGATGTGTTCATATGGCGGTTATCATGGAACCTTCAATGTGACACGTTAGTGCCATTCCATGAAAAGTGGCACACGGTCCCCAAGTAAAATAATGCATGTGCCCTAAACGGGAAAACAATGGGTGGAACTAAATAAAATGGAATTTAGAAAGGGGAACTGAGGTTATGAGGCCTGCATACCACAGATATGACGTCAAAAGACAAATTTAAAAAGCAGGCCACATATCCCACGGGTGATTGAA